GTGTAATTTGAGAAGTTAATTAAAATTCTTGTTGTTGTTTAGAGAGAGGTGATTTGGGTAATATTTTTGTAATTTTATTAAACATTTTTTAGAGATAATTGCATTTGGGGAGATATTCATTGCTATAGAGCTAGTAGTTTGTCTGGATGGTGTAGTATGAGGAATTTGTAGTGTTGGGCTGTAAAGTTTGTATAAAATTTGCCGCATAGACAAGTAGATAATTTGAGTTGAGTTGGCATTTTAAAATAATGATAAAATTTGTTGAGTTCACAATTAGTAGGATTAATATCTTTGGGTAAGATATGTAGAGTGAGTGGGTCAGATTTTTTTGTTTCAATATCAAAATGGTCTAGGTATTTGTTGTAATAATAGTCAATATTATAAAAATCAGGATCTTGAGTAGTTAGGGTAGACATTTTGATGGACTAGATAGTGATATAATTAAAGAGGGCAAAGAGAGCTTCAAAAATTAGTAAAATTTGTTTTGTATAATGTAACACTATAGGTAAAACTTTTGTGGCTAGTGTGGCTATGGCTGGTGTGGCTGTGGCTAGTGTGGCTGTGGCTGGTGTAGCTTGTAGTACAAAAATGATCTGTGTAAGGTTACTAAAAATAGTAGGTAATACTATTTAAATTTGTGTAAATTAAAAGGAATACGGATTTGTAATTATTTGTTTTGTGTAAATTTAATAAAAATTTAAAAGGAAATTTTTAAATAAGATTATTAATTGAGTGAACTACTAGTTTTAGAGATTCCAAAACTTGTTTGGGGCCGGGTTTGGGTAGGGAAAAAGGGGAGAAAAGGGAAAAAAAGAAAAAAAAAGTTATTGAAAAAGGAGTTTGGATTAATTTGACTATAAAATGGTCAGTTTTTGGCCATTTGTAATAAATTTTATGTCAAAATGAAGCTGGAAGTGAGCTGGAGGACTTTACTTAAGAAATAAGACTAGTTTCCTTGGGAGAATTTGAGTAAACTCAAATTGTAATTATTTAACAAAGAATTTTTAAATTTAATTAGAAAATTGGTTTAGAGCTATAAAACTTGGTAGCTATATGTAAATTGGGGTGTAGAACAATAAAATTTAATAAAAAAGATATGTTAAAAAGAGCAGTTTTAAGAAAATTTAAGTTTGTTTTAGCAAAATTTTGGTACAAGTGATTATCAGGAAGTATTAGTAAATCAGGTTTTATAGTTTTAATAAAAATTTAGTTCTAACATTACTTGCTGAAGTCATACTACTACTTGATACCATAAGAATTTATCCAACTAATCTTATAACTAATATTACCAGTTTGCTGATATTTAGTCTTATATTTTATAGTTAATCCTGATAAATTCATTTCAATTTCATATTTATCAGGAATCTGATATGCAATATCATTTTTTTTAAAAGTAAATTTAGAAATAGATGGATAATAGCCAAGTTGAATTACTTTATAAGATTGTCACCGAACCTGGCTACCTATTTTATGCATAGCTATAATATATGAAAATTTATTGTAAAATATACGACTATCTTTATTGTTTGGAAATTTTTGTACTAAATATTATATTATAAATATTTATTAGCTTAATGTTACTAATGAATATAAATATATTTATATATAATTAAATATAGCTAACCTTGATTTTCTACATTTTCATTCGATTTTTTAATTGACTTGATATAATTTAAATATATATGATATATTTTAGAAATTATAAAGAAATTTAATAAAAAAAAAAAAGCAAACTTATATTTGTAAAAAAGATACCAGGCAATTCTTGCTTACTTTGTTCTAGTTCGGTTATGTTATTTAATATATTCTGACTCGCATTTACATAAAGTTGAGATTCTTGTGAAGCTTTTTTAGAATTATGTTTATGAAATGGCTTTTGTAGATACATAGAGGTTTTATAATTTCTTGGCTTAGAAATAGCAAAACTTCTATCACTATTACGAAATGTTTCAGGGGTAAGTGGAGATTTAAAGATATAAGATTTATTGTACATCGGTAATACAATAAATGTAATAACGTATATGTGATATGAGTTTATCTAACAGACCAA